CCGGCGAGCCTCTCAATCCCCACTCTTCCCACTCTTGAGGCTGATTGGCTGGGTCACGTGGGTGGAGCCAAAAGAGTCCCCCAATGAGCAGCTCCGTGGTCTGAAAGGGCGGGGAAACAGCCCAATGAGCATCACCGCAGAGGAGCCAATCAGCTGGAAGTTTGCTGGGGCCGCTGTGAGCCAATCAGCTGGAAGTTTGCTGGGGCCCGCTTCGGCTGTGGCTCTCAACAAACCTGAAGCATATTCTTAAGCAGATTCCTAAGGAAATAATATTTTCTGGGTTCTTGAGATTCATTTGTTCATTTATTTATTCTACATACATACATATATATGAGGCATTGAATCCACGGGTGCTGTACTACTGAAGCATATCCTCGAGCCCTTTTCTTTTTTTTTTTTTTTTGGTACCAGGGATTGAACTCGGGTGCTTAACTAATGAGCCACATCCCCAGCCTTTTTTAACTTGACACAGAGTTTTGCTAAGTTGATTAGGGCTTTGCTAAGTTGCTGAAGCTGCTATGAACTCATGAGCCTCCTCCCTCAGCCTCCCAAGTTGCAGGGATTACAGGTGTACACCACTGTGTCCAGCCTTCCCTGGCCCTTTGTATTTTTTATTTTGAGATAGAGTCTCATTTAATTTGCCAAGGCTGGCCTCAAATTTGCCATTCTCTATCCTCAGACTTATCAAGTTGCTGGGATTATAGGTGTGTGCTGTACCAATTTGTCATCATTATACTTGATAATTACTTTTTATATAAATTTCTTGGTTTACATTTTTTCCTTGGGAGCATCTTAAATTTATATTACTCTCTTGTCTCCTCATGTAAAGTTTTATCCAAGTCTAATTTCTGTCCAAATGTTCAAGGGATTTTTTTTCCCTCGTCACTCAAGTTCAGTAATTTTACTAAACTATGTTCTGATGTTGGTCACTCTGGATCAGTTTTTCCAGGTATGTGATGCACTTCAAATACATAGTTTCAAATATTTTTTTTACACTTTGAAAAAAATTTCAGCAAGCTTTTTCAGTTTCAAGTAGTCATTCTATTTCATTGGTTTGGTTTCTTTCTTTGGCAGCTCCTGTTACCTATATGTTGGATCTTCTTCGCCTGTCTTTTTTTATCATTTTATTACAAATCTTATTTGCGGGCTCATGGGTTCTCAGTCCATCAACAGCTGATTGAGGCGGGGCAGAACATCATGGTGGAAGAATGTGGTGAAGAGAAGCTGCTCACATGATGAACAGAAAGGAGAGAGAGAGAGAGAGATTGATTTTCACTTGTCAAGTACAGATATGTACCCCAAAGCCGTGACCCCACCAACTCACCTCCTCTAGCCACACCCTGCCTCCAGTTACCACTCAGGAGATTAATTCACTGATTGGGTTAAGGCTCTCACAGCCCAGTCATTTCCCTCTGAACCCTCTTGCACTCACATGTAAACTTTTGGGGGACACTTCACATCCAAACCATAACATCTTCATTATATAATTTTCCATTTTTTTTTATATTACAACTTTCTTCCTTTTATTTCCTTTTTCTCCTAAAACATTATTTGTATATATGTAAATTTTCCCTTGTGCTTAATTTAATTTCTGAAATGATCTTTTATTTTTTTCCTTCTAGTTCTTTCCTGAGTTTTATCAATTTATTTTCATTTGTAATTTTAACTCATTATTTCATATTTTTTATCATTTTCTAAATTTTTCTTGGTTCATTTTGATATAATTACAGTTTTTATCTGTTAGTGAATGTGTCTTTTAGGCATGCTTTTATTTTGTGTTATTCTGATTCTTATATATGTTTTTCTGTCTCATTCCTTTTTTAAGAACTTCACTGCTAGATGTGGTGGTGTATGCCTGTAATCTCATGACTCAGGAGGCTGAGGCAGAAAAATCACAAATTTGAGGCCTGTTTGGAAAATTGAGTGTGATCCTGTCCCAAAAATAAAATAAAAAGGGCTGGAGATGTAGATAAGGGTTAAAGCTTATGCCTCTGGGTTAAATTCCAAGTACCACAAAAAGGGAACAAACAAACCCAAAAAACAGCTTTACATATGTTTTCACTGCTGTTATTTTCTGTTGCTCATTTTAATGTGAAATTAACTTTCCTGAATTGATAGGAGAGAAATGTAGGTCAGAACAGCTTTGTAGCTTCGTGGCCGTGGAGCTTACTCTTATTTGAAATTTCATCTTTTTAGAACTCTCTTGGCATTCGTCCTCTTTTTCACTCTTATCTGAATCTTTTTTCTTTGCCATCTTTTCCTTGATTGTCAATCTGAAGTTTAATCACAGCAGTTTTTTTGTTTTGTTTTGCAGTGTAGGCTTTCATCTTGAAAGGATGGTTTTTCAGCTGGATAATTTAGAACTGTGCTGTCTAATGGGGTTCAATAATTAAATCTGTAGCTACTTAAAGTTAAGTAAGTTAAATTTAAATAAAATCAAACATCTGATTCTTTGTCTGAACTAATCATGGCATAAGTGCTTAATGGCCACATGTGGCTAGTGGCTGCTGTGTTGGGCATTACTGATATAGAATAATATCATAATCACAGAAAATCCTGTTGGGGTGGTTTAGAGTGTGCCTCATTCTCTTCAAACTATATCATAGACCTTTTTCACACATTTGTGAATTGCAATGTGCAAAAACCCCCTCTGTTTCAGCTAATGTTCCTAAATTGGCCAGCTGTGCTTCTCACTGAGTAAAGTTTGGGGAATCTCCTGTTGTCACTTCAGGCATTCTACTTCCTCTTACATAGATTCTTATAGTATACCAGTTTTGTTACTGTGAGTGGTTTGTTCTTTTTTTTTGTGTGTTTTTGGATGTTGTGGGGGACTTGTCCCATCATTTTGGTATAGATGTCTGTGAGTTGTGGTTTTACTATTCTGGTTTCTCTGCTGTTCTATTGTAGGTGGTGGGTGTGGGGACATGGAGAGATAAACAAGCTACATTGCAGCCATTCTCATCTCCTAAAATTGTCTTTTTTGAACCTTTTTTTATAATAGGGCTTGAATCACCTAGGGGCATTTTTATCATTGAGCTATATCCTCAATTCTTTTATATTTGGAGTCAGGAGTCTTGGGGTCTTGCTAAATTGCAAAGGTTGACTTTGAACTTGTGATCCTCTTGCCTTAGCCTTCAGAGTCATTGGGATTACAGGCATGTACCACCACACCTGTCAAATTTAGATCTTTTTGCCTCCACAAGTTTTTTTTTTTTTTGAGACAGGTCTCACCGTGTTGTCCATGCTGCCCTTGAACTTGCTTTCTCTTATTTGCCTCAACCTCCCAAGTAGCTGGTGTTATTAGGTATGTGCCATGGTGCCAGGCTTCCTCCATAATTTGCAAAATTAATATGTAATTCTGTAGCTTCTGTTCTGGTCTCTCCCCTATACCATAAGTAAAAATGCTTCCCCCTTTTATTTAGTATTTCTTTTTTGTCAAATTAATCATCTTTCATTGACTTGGCAAGCTTGGGCCCACCACTTATTCTTTCTGCCTTTACTTGTGCCATTTTAAAATTGAGACAGTTAGATTCAGGTTGGTTAGTTGGTTTGTGTTCATGGTGGGGGACCTTACCAGAGTTCTCTATTAGCAAGCAGAGTTGATAATAAAAACAGTAAATATATTTATGATTCTTTAAAGCTGGAATGCTACTTGTGAACAGAGTAGAGATGAATTTCTAGGCAGTGTGATTTAATCTGTTCTCAGATTAGTGTAAAATATGAGCCCTTCAAAGGATTTTTTTCCCTATGAGATGTACTATTTGTTTTGTTATTCCCTCAGTTGAATAGCTGAGGGTGGTTTTCTTACTTGAATAAGTATTAACTGTTTCAAGTTTTATAATTTGTTCTTTATTTTATTTATTTATTTTTATGTGGTGCTGAGGATTGAATTCAGTGCCCCACACCTGCTAGGCAAGTGCTGTACCACTGAGCCACAATCCCAGTTATAATTTGTGCTTATTTCTTAACAGTCAACCTTTATTTACTGCTATTATTATTGTTATTTTGATACTGGGGATTGAACCTAAAGGCAAACTTTACCATTGAGTCTGTTTATTTTATTTTATTTTTTGAGACGGAGTCTAAGTTGCTTAGGACTTACAAAGTTGCCGAGTCCGGCCTTGAAGTTGCAGTCCTCCTGCCTCAGCCTCCCAAGTTACTGGGATTACAGGTGTGCATCACCATGCCTGGCATTTATTTACCATTATTGATTAGAGATCTAGGAAATATATATATTTGTGTGTGTGTGTGTGTGTGTGTGTGTGTGTGTGTATGTATGTACACACACAGGTATATACATATAAATGTGTTTATATATATGTAAATACATATATATGTTATATACACACATATGTATGTATTTTAATACTGGTGATTGAACCTGGAGCACTTTAACCACTGAACCACATTCCCAGCCCTTTTTATTTTTTCTTTTGAGACAGGGTGTTGCTAAATTGCTTAGGGCCTCACTAAGTTGAGAAATTGTGATCCTCCTGCCTCAGCCTCTGGAGTCACTGGGATTACAAGCTTCCACCACTACACCCAGCCAGGGCATAGCTTTTCTTGATCTGTTGTTGTTATTAAAACATTAAATTTGTGTTCAGTGTATAAGGGAAAGGATTGTGTATATTTTATTGGAGACAGTCTATGAAATAATTTTTAGGTACAAGGAAATAGCTCTATTTCTGTGAGTTACCATTCCCTCTTATATAGTGCTGGGTAAAAGATATAATTTTGTAGATAGAAATTTATGGCTTCCAGAAAGAAAACTGCAAAAATTGAAATGTCCAAAGAATTTAAGATTTGCTATAAATGCCATTATATATTGAAAACTGGAGCTTGAGATATTAATATAAGTAATTCTGATTGATAGTTTTCCTAAAATGTCATGATTTTTGGTGAAGTTATTTTCAGTCTTAAGCTCTTAACATTTTTTTTTCCCCTCAGCTTCCAATAAAAACGGGACAGCAGAACACACATACCAAAGTCAGTACTGAACACAACAAGGAGTGTCTAATCAATATTTCCAAATACAAATTTTCTCTGGTTATAAGCGGCCTCACTACTATCTTAAAGAACGTTAACAATATGGTGAGTACTTGGGTTATTGTTTTGGTGAATTTACTTCATTTTGGTTTTGATTTAGATGTTGGGAACAGCATATTTTTAAATATGGGAAACAGTTTTCTGTGGACTTCAGATAAAACAATTTGTTGCAGTTTAGAAAAGAGCACAAGTATAATTTTTAAACTTTCATTTTAGGTTTATATTCTTTTCCTTAGAAACTTCTCTTATTCATGGCTCTTTCTTTTTCCAGGAATTAAAGTTTTATGTGATTTTTTTTTTTAAAGAAGCATCTTTTTAAAAAATATTTATTTATTTATTTATTTTAAAAGAGAGAGAGTGAGGGAGGGAGGGAGAGAGAGAGAGAGACAGAGAGAGAGAGAGAGAATCTTTTTTTAATATTTATTTTTTAGTTATTGGCGGACACAACATCGTTGTTGGTATGTGGTGCTGAGGATCGAACCCTGGCTGCACGCATGCCAGGCGAGCGCGCTACCGCTTGAGCCACATCCCCAGCTCTTAATATTTATTTTTTAGTTCTCAGCGGACACAACATCTTTGTTGTTATGTGGTGCTGAGGATGGAACCCGCGCCACAGGCATGCCAGGCGAGCGCACTACCGCTTGAGCCACATCTCCAGCCCCAAGTTTTATGTGATTTTTAAAAAATATTTTATTTTTCAGTTGTAGTTGTCAGTACCTTCCTTCCTTTCTTTTCTTTTTCCTTTCTTTCTTCCTTTCCTTTCCTTTCCTTTCCTTTCCTTTCCTTTCCTTTCCTTTCCTTTCCTTTCCTTTCCTTTCCTTTCCTTTCTTTCCTTTCTTTTTCCCCTTTCCCCCTTTCCCCCTTCCCTCTTTCCCCCCTTTCCCCCTTTCCTTTTCCTTTGGATTGAACCTAGGGCTTCACACGTGCTAGGCGAGCACTCTACTGCTGAGCCAAAACCCCAGCCCTTTATGTGGTTTTTGTATTATATATGAATTTGCTGTAGTATAGAAACTTTTTTTTCTGGGTTTTGCTATTTTTTTTTTTGTTGTTGTTGTTTTTGCAGTGCTAGGGATTGAACCCAAGACTTGCATATGTTAGGCAGGTGCTCTACTAGTGACTGAGCTACACTTTAAGCCCTGTATAATCTATTATGTGCTTTTCTTTAGCTTCTTATTTGAATTTACATATCAGATTGTGAGATGCTAATTCAAAGTAAATGGTGAATAAAATGTGCTTTTACTCCTAAAATGTGGAATTGAGTTCAATCAGCATCTTAATATTTTTCCTTACTCTTGTCACCTGTGATAGATTCTGTAATAAGAGAACCTATTGTTGAAATAATTTTCCTCAAATTGTTACCTATTTCGTGAAGTAATTCCTCTATTAAAAATTCATAATTTTGGGGCTGGGGATGTGGCTCAAGCAGTAGCGCGCTCGCCTGGCATGCGTCCGGCCCGGGTTTGATCCTCAGCACCACATACAAACAAAGATGTTGTGTCTGCCGAAAACTAAAAAAATAAATATTAAAAAAAAAGTTCATAATTTCTTTTTTTCCCATTTTATATAATTTGTTGATGTACCTTAACTTTAAAGTATTCCAGCTGGTCTTCTGTACCTTCAGACATGTACTCTTTTTTCTCTCTCAGGTAATCTTTTTATCTCTCAATTTCTATCTAACCATCTCTTTCATATTCGGTTCAAAGCAACTGATCTAGATCTTGACAAGCTTTCTGCTTGTCTTCAGCATTTGTAATCTCAATTTGTATTATTTGTATTAAACTGTGAAACAACTTCTGGTTGTAGATTATGAAGATCAAAGTCCCATTTTTATAGTCACATCATCTTTGATGGTTGCCTTTTAAGAAAGTTGTTTAGACAGTACTGTACACTTAAAGAACTGATGAACTGGAAGTATGGACAACCATTTGCCTTACAAATAACTTTTTTTTTTTTAATGGAACAAAATTAAACTTCTTTTTTTTAAAAATTTTTTTTAATTGGTTGTTCAAAACATTACAAAGAAAATTAAACTTCTCCAAACAAAAAGCACAGGACCTTTTATAAAATTTAAAGTGATTTATCGAAATACACTTAATATTTTGTCATAGCTCTTTTTTTGCACAGTGTATAAGGTACAGTATTGGATTTTGCACAAATGAATACGTGACCATGTTTCTACTTATATGGAAATATTTTAATATTTGGGACCCTTTTCAAAATAAAAGAAAAAAATCCAAACAATATTATGACAATGGTGTTCATTTATTGCTTACTAAATAAATTATATTGTGGAAACCATAGTCTTTTGTTACTAAATAAGTAGTGTAGCATTCAGTTTGAGGATGGTGAATGTTTAAAATTCACTGTAATTGGTGCAATAACATTTTATTACTTAAAGAATTAAGACTTTTTTGGAATTAAAATATGGTTAAATCGTCAAAATTCAGATATAGATCTCTAAATCATACATATTTCTAAAGCCTAAATATATCAACATCTTTTATTGTTTTAAAGCCAATGCATACTCTAAAAAATACCCACATTTCTGTTTGCCTGAGAATTCATTTTGTATGAGAATTAGGAAAAAATAAAAAATAACAGAATAGGGTATAAACTGGGAGATAAAATGGAAGGGTATTGGTTTTTTTTCTTTTTTAATTTTTTAGTTGTAGAAGGACACAATATTTTATTTATTTTCATGTGGTGCTGAGGATCAAACTCAGTGCCTCACATGTGCTAGGTAAGCGCTCTACCACTGAGCCACAACCCCAGCCACCTATTGGTTTTTCTTGATACTCAGTCCCTCGCTTTTTAGAAGTGTGCTGATTTGTAGTAGAGAATGACGACTAACTTTTATGTTTTGAATATCTTTTCTTTTAGAGAATATTTGGAGAAACTGCAGAAAAAAATTTATATCTCTCTCAGTTGATTATATTGGATACACTGGAAAAATGTCTTGCTGGAGTAAGTAAATCTACTCTTATATAGGGAGGTTTTGTGCCTTCAGACTTGGAATGATCTGTGTGCCACAGTATAGGTGTGTACAAAGAGAACACACATGACCTTTTTTTCTTAAGACAAATGAATGTACATTTTGTTAAGATAGCTGACCTGGTGGTGCAGATAATTTTCAACAGAAAATTATTCTCTTGTATTTTATAAATTAAATAGATATTGTTTACTTACAAGTGTTAATTTTGAGCTAGATATCTGTCTCAGGATTTTTAGAAAATATTTTTTAATAAAGAGATTGCTATTTAATTTAATGAATTTTTCAGATATTGTAGGCCTGTGGCAATGTGAAGCTGTGAAAAAATATACTTCAGAAGACCAAGGGTAATCTTATTTTCCCTCCTGCATGAATATGGTTTGTTTAATTATTTATTGTTAGGTGGGACTTGAACCCAGGAGTGCTCTATTACTGAGCTATAACCTCATGTTTTTAATTTTTGAGACAGGGTCTTGCTAAGTTGCTGAGGCTGGCCTTGAACTCTATGTTCCTCCTGCCTCAGCCTCCTGAGTTGCTAGGTATGCACCATTGCACCTCTCTTGAATATGGTTTTAATACTCTGCTATACAAATCTATATAAGAGCTTGAAAATTGAATTTATCCTATTGAGAACAGATAGATATTACCTTAAGAATTCTTGTTTTGTGTAAACACGCTCATATATAATAGTTATGTGGAGGATTAGTTGAGAACCAAATCATTTTTTTCAGGTTTCTTCTAAGTAGTTTTCTCAGTATATTTCAACCCTGATTTAATTTGAACTTTTCCAAAATATTTGTTGTGTAATGCAGAGTATTTCTGTTCTTCCATAACTTTAGTTTTTCTTGGAACATTGGTTGGAGTTTACATAATACATAAACTATATACTTCCTTTTAAAGATCTTTCTGTTCCACATATATTGGAATTAACTTCTTATTCTCTCTGCCTTTGGTACAGAATTTCAGATTTTGTTTTGATTTAGAATGGCTTCTATCTTCCACTTTTGTTACAGTTTTCTATAGTAAACCTAAAGGGAAAGAACTTTGATACATGGGGACTAATTGTGTGACTCAGAAGTATTTGGAAAGGGGTAGAGTATTCAGTAGGGAATTAAAAAGAAAATAATTATATTCATACAACTGTGTTTTCTCAGGGAAGCTCTGTAGGTTACAAAATCTAAGCATAATATTCTAAACTCTTTTATTAGCTGTTGGCCATATTCCAGAATTGTGGGACAGTTGATAAGTTTTCAACTGAAACTCAAGGCCAGCTGGTTGTTTTAGCTTGGTTTCTTCTGTTAATTTGTGCTAATGCTATCATGCATTTGTAAAATGAAGGGAAAGTGCAAAAGCTCTGTTATGTAGGGTGATCAAAATGGGAAGGTTGGCAATTTTTAAACTTCTGAATCAATTCTTTGTAGCAGTCTTGTTACTTTGATTTAAAATTACCAGTACATCAGCTACACTGTGATTGAATGGGGTCCCAGAGAGGTTTATTGCTTTTTTAGTTCTACACCTTCCTCCATTAACATTTGTAATAGATAAGTAATATTATTGGCCCTTGGTTGGTTTAATTCTCTTTGTGGATAGTCTAATTGAAATGCTATTAACTGGTTATGTTGTAACTTGTATAATGTATAAAATATATATTTCCTTGCCTTATTGTGCTATTGAAAACATTTAAATTTGTTTGTTAAATATGTGTGTGTGGTGGTGAACTACATCTCCAGTCTTGTATAACTTGTTTTGTTTTCTTTTCCTTTAGTTGTACAGGTCTGGGAATGTAGTTCAGGAGTAGAGCACTTGCTTAGCATGCAGAGGGCCCTAGTTTTAATTCCTACCACTTCAAAAAAAGCAAAAGCCAAACAAAAAATCCAAGTGTGGGGATATAGCTCAGTTGGTAGAGTGTTTACCTCCGTGCACAAGGCTCTGGGTTCAATCCTCAGCATCATGCGCGCCCGCGCGCACACACAATACACACACACACACACTCACACTCCAAAGACCTATTCATATTATGGAATAGTTGGCTTTTCTTGATTTTTATGGTGGCTTCTTCATTTATTTATTTTACAACTTTATTTTTCCCTCTAATAATATCTTGTTAATGTCTTCCTAAGTTTGATTTTCATTTTTAGATCAAATTAAATTGAGGCCTTTAATGAGAATGGAGCCTGCAAATACATTATTTATCGTATAAGTTGTTGGAATAGCTAAGTGACAGATAATACTTGCCAATATCATACTATGATTAAAATTTTGTGGAGTCTGAGGAATCTTATTGCATATAAATATTATTCCAAAGATATAATACTTTTTCAACTTTCATTGTAGTTTCAACATTGGCTTCATTAGCCTATAAATAATAAATAGACATTATAAAAAATTTTGCAAATTTATGAGAAATCTATGTATTTACTGTTTATATATTTCAGTGTATCTGTCACTGAAAGCTTTTGGATTACAGTTGTACAGGATGTGGCACACAATTATATAAAATTTCATTCTTTGTTATCCTGCGCAGTATTGGCAAGATTTTTATATGTGTATGGATACCAAAACATTATGTGAAATAGTGATAGTGATGTGGAACAGTTTATTTTCAGGCTGGCTTATCTGTTTGGTTGTTCACAAAGTAGACATTTACTTTACAAGGTAAAGACCTCAGTGTTAACACCAATGTTATCAAATATAATTTTAACCTACAGGAGACCACCTAATGTTATGTACTTCTTTATTTATTTTTGGTACTTGGGATTGAACTCAGGGGCACTTGACCACTGAGCCACATCCCCAGCCCTATTTTGTATTTTATTTGGAGATAAGGTCTTACTGAGTTGCTTAGCACCTTCCTTTTGCTGAAGTTGGCTTTGAACTAGTGATCTTCCTGCCTCAGCCTCCCGAGCATAAGTGTATATGCATGTGTGCACACACATGGAATCAGTGAGGATGGATGGACGGTTGGACTATAATTATGGCATGAAAAATGGAACCATCTTCTTTTATTATAGTATCATAAATAGATGTAGCAACTATGAAACATTAACAATTATCGAATATAGGTGATGGCTAAATGATTGTTTATTAGTCTATCAGCTCTTCTGTATGTTTGAGAAATTTTCCTAAAAGCAAATGTAAAATTTAAGCAAATTTTAAAATAGCAAATGTAAAAATTAAGAAAGTTTTAGAATTATGTGATTTTTTTATTTTAGCAACCAAAGGACACAATGAGATTAGATGAAACAATGCTGGTCAAACAGTTGCTACCAGAAATCTGCCATTTTCTTCATACGTGTCGTGAAGGAAACCAACATGCAGCTGAACTTCGAAATTCTGCTTCTGGGGTTTTATTTTCTCTCAGCTGCAACAACTTCAATGCAGTCTTTAGTCGCATTTCTACCAGGTTAGTGTGTAAATCATGTAGGACTATTAAAGTAATATGAATTTTAGAAGTCTTTTTTTCCTTGTCTATGTAAAAATAAAAAACGAACAGAAATGAACTTTTTCTGGGTTTTTGTAGATATTTTATACATTAATGTCTTGACAATTTAAATTATATTGTAATATTGATGTGTGCAGATAGATAATCAGAGTATTGTTATAAACATGAAGGTCTGAATCTTAGGAAAAGCTATCTTCCATGGCCAGGAATTTTCTTTTCCTGTGTTTTGGAGATGTGGGTGGTAGGGATTGAACCCAGACCTTAAGTATGCGTATGAGGTGTCCTTGAGATACCTCCCAACCCCAGGCCATTTCTTTTAAATACTAGATATGAATTTTTGACTTTTTTGGGGACATATTCCTTTAAAGGAAATTATTGTCAGTTGGAATAATTGATAATAAAATTCTAATGATCTCACAGCTGTGCTCCTTATCACAGGATTATAGTCAATAAAAAATAAAAACTTCACAAAAACCCAAGCAAACAGAAGAACAACGAAGTAATTGTGAAGTAAAATCCTCCAGAAAGTGAAGTTTTAAATGTACATAAATGGTCCCATTTATTATTTATAGTATATGCTATGCTGTCTTATACTCATGATAACTCTGAAAGATTGGTGATATTTCCCATATTTTATAGGTATGCAACTCAGTACTCCCCAAAAGTTAAGGTAATGTGCCAAATAATGGAGGATCCAGATTTTCTAAGTTAGGCTGGCTTCTGAATCTATGTTAATTTCATTATTTTAGCCACATTTTGATGAGATTATTTTCATAATACATAGGTCTATGCTTTAAAAAATATAATTTAAGCCCTTATTGATAATTCAAACTCATCATTGTGAGCATTAGTTGTGATATGTTGTGAATGTGGAAATGGGATAAAATTTTGACTTTGGGATAAAATTATTACTCAAAGTAGTAACCCTCAAACTTGCTTTCATGAAAATGATATGCTTTTCTCATGCACGTAAAGTCAAATAGGTTCTTAATTCAAGTAAGAAGTACAAAAGAAATCACATATAGACTTGGTGAATCAAAAACTAATAGAGAAAAAAAAAAAACCTGTTTCTTTTTGGTGCCTGTATCTTTGACTTGTCAGTATTGTGCAAACAAGTGGACTAGTCAGATTCACTCATTCTTTTGTTGTTCTTTAGCAAATATAAATGAGAATATACATCATAGTTTGAAAATTTGTCCTGTGGTATTTTGGGGGAACTGACTGACTTCAAAATTCCTTCTTTCCTTTCTTTTTCTTTTCCCCCTTCCCTCTTTCCTTCACTCTCTCCTTCCCTCTCTCCCTCTCATCCTCCCTTCCTTCCTTTAGAATCCAACCCAGGGCCTTGCACATGCTAAGCAAGAGCTCTACCATTGACACACCTCTAACCTCTCTGTAATCATTTTAATAAAAAATGACTTTCTTATGATGCTAGGGCAGTGATATTTTTCAACCTCAAGAAAATACTTGGTCAAAAGAAAATTAAAATTTATTTAATGATATGTTATTGATAATCTTGGGTAATGTTTATATGATAGAAAGATATTTCATGAACTCTATATAGAGAATTCACAATTTGTATTCTGAGTAAATAATACACTAATTGTATCAGCAAGGTAAGAAACACTTCAGGAATAGGAGATTGAAAAGTTATAAAAGAACAAAATCCCATTTTATTTTGATGACTACCAGACCAGCCCTACTTTTGAAAAAAATCTCAAATATTAAAGGTAGAAAATGATCACTACAATGTTTTGGTCTACCCAGGTATAAATTGCATTATAAAACACAGCAAATGTGCCTGTTTTGAAAACCCTGGAAATCTTCTGGATCTTCTGGCCACCAAAGGTTTTCTTTTATGGGATTTTGCAGCATTAGCACATGTAAAAATAGACAGCTTTTATTTCCTGAATCTCGTTTACTGTGCCATAATAGAAATTAGCTGTCCAAAATTTCATTAGCATGTGGGGACAGACTAATTAGAAATGGAATCTATGAAATAACGTGTTTCATTGGACTTTTTATGTAGTTAGTGCCAGAAATAGGAGTTAATCTTATTGGAGGACCACTCACCCAAAAGCCATTATGAAGTCTAATTTAGGTGGGGACACCTTAGCAAGACATTACTAAATAACATTATCTTTGAAGCTAAGTTTTATAATATTTCATATGTAATGGATGAATTAATATCATGAAAATGTTTTATGTTTCACAATTCTCCTTGTCAACACATGTTTCTCTTTTAAAAAAGATTGCGTTTCTTTATTTTCTTCTTCCCCTTTTTTTTTTTTTGAGGTGGGGTTTTGTTGTGTTTCCAGATTGGTTTCAAATTTATGGGCTCAAGCAGTCCTCTTGAGTAGCTGAGACTACAGGCTCATACCACCATACCTGGCTCTTAAGATCGCTTTCTGTATTTCTGTTTTTGTCTTTAAGATCTTAAGATAGTTTCATTATTCTGCTAAAGCAGCCAATATTCTGTGGTTCATAGTACTCATCTAGAAGAGTAGCTGATTTTGCAGAATTACTCTGTGACTGCACCAGATCTAGTTGTTTTGTTATGGGAATACCCTTTAGACTGTGTAATTTGATATATCATCAGAAGAATATTCAATGACTTTAAAAAGTTATTTTGTTCTTTACAATTTACTATATAGTTCTTTACAAATCTTTTTTTATTGTTTCTTATTTCTAATATTTTTGATTTTTTTTTCAATTTCTTCTTTAATCATTTAAAACACTTACATTTTTTTTCTCTCTCTCTCTCTCTTTCTCTCTCTTTTTTGGTACCGGCGATTGAACCCAGGGGTGCTTAACCACTGAGCCACATCCCCAGCCCTTTTTTATATTTTATTTAGAGACAGGGTTTGCTGAGTTGCTTAGGGCCTCACTAAGTTGCTGAGGCTGGCTTTGAACTTGTGATCCTTCTGCCTCAGTCTCCTGAGCTGCTGGGATAATAGGTTTGTGTCACTTTGCCTGGTTTATATTTTCTTTTTAACATTGTTAAATTGCATATTTGTGTGTGCTCATTCTCATTCATAGTGAATTGTTTCCTCTCTGTATTGTAATCTTTGATTGCAAACTTATTTTCTGTAGTATGGCCTGTATTTTTATTGGGAATCTTGTAGCCTTGGTCTCTGAGAGTGTTCAAGTGATAGTTTTGCATTTGCTTTTGCCAAGTGCCCAGCTTTAGACCTACTAATTGTTTATTTTTGTTAATCTCTCAGCCCCAGACTGTATGGGTAGTGTAAAATTGAATCCAAACCCTTATTAACAACTCTGGGTGACTTTTTATTTTATTTTTTGTAGTTGTGTGTGGGCAGTATGCCTTTATTTTATTAAATTTTTTTTAGTTGTAGGTGGACACAATTCCTTTATTTTATTTGTTTATTTTTATATGGTGCTAGGGATCAAATGCAGTGCCTCACGCATGCTAGGCATGCGCTCTACCACTGAGCCACAACCCCAGCCCTTATTTGTTATTTTTATGTGGTTCTAAGGATCAAACCCAGTGCCTCTCACATGCTAGGTAAGTTCTCTGCTACTGAACTACAGCCCCAGCCCTCCAGGTGACTTTTTTTCACCTACCTGTAGTGTTGACAGAACAAATAAACTTCCTATGCAAGAAGGTTTTTGTTTTTGTTTTTTTTTCCTAAAGGAGAGTGTATTCCTTTCTAGTTTATGTTTTATGCAGGACTCTATTTTCTAATTCTTGTATTATTAGAGTACAAAATTTTATATTCTTGTCTTTCTGAATGTTTGAGTGATAGATTTTCCACAGTTCATTTCTTTTATTCAGACTATCCTTTGTTTGATTTCTCTGCTTCAGAAATGTTTAAATATCACAAAGATATCCCTTCTCATAGCAATAATTGAACTATAAAACGAGTTAAACTTTCTTCCATTTTCAACAACCAATCCACTTTTCAAAAGTTAGTGTTGCTGAACTATTAGGGTATGTTTCCTAAGGAACCATACTTCATATTTATAGGTTATTTGCAGTAGCAGCTGTGGAGTTTTAACATATAAGTAAGTATTAAGGACCTTTTTGTTCCCAGTCTGAGCTACCATGCTTTTCTTACTCTAATGATATGAAATACTTTAGGGTAAGTGCTTAGAATAAATTTTTAAAAATTATTTTTAATACCTTTATTTTATCAATTTATTTTTTTAATGTGGTGCTGAGGATGAAATTCAGTGCTTCACATGTGCTAGGTAAGCACTCTACCACTGAGCTATAATCCCAGCCTAGAATAAATTTAATGTTAGCTATAGGCTAATTTAGGCTAAGGTGAGTCAAAGAAGAATATGAGAAAGAAGAAGAAGGATTGATTCTATTAACTCAAGATTTAATGTGATGATTAATAAGTTAGTTTTAAACTGTACTAAAATGGTTAAAATTCAAATTGTAATTATGAATAAGCCCATATAGTATTTGTGGTTTTCTGCTGTCTTTTTGATGCATTTATAAAAAATTAGTAATTCCATTTTGATGACTGTTAATGGAAATAATGAGTATGCTTTATTAAATAGCACAGTGCAATAGATTAGTGATACCAGCTTTACAAATCTGAATCCTGAGAAATGGAAATTGTCTAATCCTTTCTATTTAGCCTTAAGGGGATTTTAGAGTTTTAAAATACCTACATTTTTGTTAAGTGTTAAATTTTTCTACATTGTGATAACTTTATATTCAATATAAGGGAAGTTTGGGGTTTAGAAATATTCCTCTCTTTATATGCTTACTTACATTCTACTGTAGAAGAGGGATATAATTAAATAATCATGAACACATGTACAGATTGTAAAAAGTACAATGAAAAAAAAGGACTGTTTTTGAATATAAGATAAATGTGTCTTGTGACCTATAGGTAAAGTATTCATGTTTCTGGTTAGTATTAAATAGAAGTTAATAAAATTAAACTTTTTTTTTTACTTATAACTTGAAATAGGAATTTGTAGAGCTT